TAGAGATAAGGAATTAAGTATTGTTAATGTTAGGTGGATAATGGCGCAAAATGTTTCCCAATTGGGAATTGCACTTTAGTTTGTTGCCTACATCCGTGACTAAGTGCCCTTATATCAAATTTTTACACTCCATTTAAGTAATGGGTTAGCGGAGAGCCATCTATGGGCGATCTGTAACCGTTAAGTAGCTTATCTTTATTTTTACTTCTCATAAGGTTGCGAAGTTAAGACCTAGGGCTTTATAGCGCATTATTGTATGATGTCTTGTAAACACATAGGGTCGTGTGGTGCATTATTGTATGCGGTCATGTAAACCCTTCGGGTCATGTGCATATAGGTAAGCAGCTTTGTGGTAGTGTAACTAAGTCACATAAAGTTTTCTTAGTAAAAGTGACGTGAATAGAGTTTTGGACCTCTATAAGATAGAGAATTCTAAGCATAGCGCTTTTATGTAGCCTAATTGAGAATGGAAAGAAATTTCCAATATCCTAGGGACAGTAGGAGCGATGTGCCTACTAATGGATTACTCCATTAGAGAAGAATACTCTACATTCTTAGTTGTGTGTAGCGAATGTGAAAATTTTCCACGTCATCACTGGGTGATTGAGAAGGAAACATTCATGATTGCTCTGCAAGATGATAAAGAGCCTAGGATAATGCCAAAGGCTCTAGTCCCCTATTTTTAGAAAGTGGATCAATGTTGCGCAGTTTAAAACAAAGTCTTTGAGGATTAACCATTTCTGTAATTTGGTTGACTTTCCATTATGACGCAAAACTGTTCTAAAGTTATGCGTAATTTGGATAGTTATTGTTGAGGCATAAGGCTTGCTAGATATCGAAAAGTCACACCATTAAGGAAAGTGTAGACCATGAGAAGACTTCCTCCTAGGGAGTGAGGTTATTTCAACTTAGGCTATGATTGACATAAGTTCGGAACATTGATTTGTGGACATTGTGACCCAACTTTCTCGTTGGAGAATTAGATAAGTAGATTCATAGGGATTTACCTCCTGCTTTTATGGTAGAAAGTTAGGAGCGCAAAAAGGTTGCTAGTTCCAATAAATCTTTTGAAGCCTAAAACAGTAATCCAAATAGTAGTTCTTAGATTTCGTCAAGCCATGATAGGCAAACGATGATCGATGAAGACCACTGAGGCATGATCAATGGTCCAAAAGAAGTTTTTCCTTACATAGTCATTATGAGCCAATAATTTATAAGATTGTCGCCACCTAAGATGGGCAGTCCTCTATTTTAGATATGATGGACATGGGTGATGTAATTTATATGCCCGGATGTACGATCCTTAGGGATTGTTTTGGGAGAATTCCCAGTTTGTCTTCAATGACTTACATAAGGAATATCCTAGAACGATTCTAGATGCAAAATTGCAAACCCATTGACCTATCAGTAAAAGCCAGAGCCTTAGCTATTGAGTGAATCCTCGGATTGTCTTTAGGAAAAACAGATGACCTTTATTCCTTGATCTTTTCTTTGTTGTGGGAGCCTAAAGTACGCTATGTAGGCGTATTCGGCATGATAAGTGTTATCTTTGGTAAATGGTCAATTGAGTTGTTTAGACATTGACCTTGCTCATCAAACTGTGGATAGGATGCTTTACTAGTAGTATATTAATTTGCTCCTTGTAAGATTCAATGCGCTAGTTGGGCGCATCCAGAATGAACACAAATTGGTCACCAAAATATCTTTAGAGAGGTAATTGCGCAAGAGGTAGTGATCTTGAACCACTTCATGTGAGGCGCAAATGGTGAATTTCGTTGTATATGCTTATCGCAAAAGGTGCTGATAAGGCTTATGCTTGGAATCTAGAATTGCGCAAGCTGTGGTCATGTTTTTTAGATCGATCACTTATTTGTTGTGAGATGATGGGATGTTGACACTATTATGGTTTGTGTCATAATGATTAGCATATGATGATGTCAGCAGGCAAGATTGGCTTACTCACACGAGCAATCGCCCTTGGTGCTTGGGAGCGAGCAAGGATGAGACTAGTGGTTTATTTTTTATTTGGAGCCAAGACAGGCTTAAATTTTCCATTATGCATGTCACCTTGGTTACAACCAAGATGAGGTCGTGTTAAGGACCAAACATGGATGTTAGTACCCACTTTCCATGTTGTGCATGTTATGATTAGCCAAATGCGAGATCTCATTTGGCGCTTGGAAGGTGAACAAATAGAGAATTCGGGTTAGGCACTAGAAAGCGACTAGACTAATATCTGTACAGTGTATCGAGTATGACGTCACTCTTTTGGAAGAGTTACTCCACCGAAGCATGTATTCATACTCTATGTGCTTGGTGACCGAGTAATGAGGTGAGAGAATGGATCCCTGTTTCCGCACTGTGTAAGTCTTACGTGTCATTATTGATATGACTTTCATTTATGTACCCTTTTGTGACTTTTGACTATATCATAAGGTAAGGGGTTGATGTTCTGCTACTTTGGTATGTTGCCTGCGGTCATGTATGATTCGGCCTTAAAGGACATCACTGGGAAAGCGGTCAATCCTAAGCTAAATGGCATGAGGGCAAAGGGAAGATCATCTAGTATTACACCACTGTTGTATATTCACTACCGGCAACTCACATCGCTCTGTATGAGAGGCGGATTGAGTGTGAACATATTGCAAGAATTGAGAGGGTCAAACATGCTCTTTTTGAGAGATTAGAGATGTTTTTTGGACCGGTGTAATTAGATGAGTCTGGGGTATATGAGACACTATTTCTATTCCGTTTGGGTTGATGTCTCTGTGCTGACTCATTTTGAGTTTCTAGTATAGAGCTCCCACATGCAGGTGTTCTCAACAGTCGCACGGTGCATTGGCTAGTATGAGATTGTCCATTTTTGGGGAGATTGAGATAGAGATGTGGCAGTGTCATGCCAACTCATGTGCGAGTGGGAGATGTTAGAAATTGGGTGCCCATGTGGCATGACCCTTTGAACCTTTTGAACCTGAACCTTTTTGAACCTTATCTATGTAGGTTTGAATTTGAATTCAAAATTTATTTGGATAACCATTCAGGATATCTATATGTATCATATCAATAGATATGGATAGATGGATAGATAGATATTAGTGGTTATATATCTAATTTTATATTTTAAATAATATATTGATATATCAGATACGTTATGTGATTTTTACCCATAACCTTTTTCCCAGACTCTCTCTGACTCTCTCTCATTAAACAACTGACTTGTGTGGGTGATATTCATTTTGTAATATCACTCCACTGCTAGGTTGGTTGTTCACTTTCTGGAAGCACATGATTTACCCATGAGATCCTTCACTTCAGACTCTACTAAAAAAGGTATGACTATGAAATTTTTCATCCGCTGCCTTTTACCCCGATTGACAATTTAGGTATCAGTGGGTAAAGTTTATAGAAAAATATTAAATATGCTTATATTTATTTTTGATAAAAACAAAAACAAAATATATTTGGTAACATATTTTTAGAAATTTAAACATTATCAAATAAGCTCTTATTGTTACAATTGTTTATTTATATTTACAAAAAAAAAAATTGAAAATAATAAATAAAAACTTGTTTAGTATTTATTTTCATTTTCAAAAAAAAAAATTATAAGTAATTTGCAAAATTTACTAAATTATTGTAATCACACAAAAAAAATTAATTTCATTCTTTTTAATAAACTTCCTGAACTTCCTTATTCTGCCAACCCTTCTAAGCACGATCCATCACTCATCACCCCTACCAACTACTCTCACTTTTGGCCACCATTGTTGGTAACAACAATCTGCACCGTACACCACCTCTTGCCACTACATCTAGCCACCATATTCAATCCCATTTTACCACCATCTCCAATTGTTAAAAACTATTTCGATCATCACTTTCGGTACCAAACAACCAACTATGGCCACTATCTCTAACCATGGACAACCACCTTAGACCACCATATCTCGCTGATAATCTCACTTGTTTATTTTTAACAATGTGCGTACCAAATAAGGTATTTTGTTTTCATTTTTACTAAAAATAAACAAAAACCTATTTAAAATTATTTACGTAATAAAAACAGTATACCGTAAGACAATACTTTAATATTTAATGGTGAATTCCTAGTTTGTTTGAGCCATGGCGTAATGTACATGTGGCCAGCAATTAGGGGATAAATACAAGTCTTAGGCAAGAGCCAACAAATAAATTTAGGTTGTGGCTAAATCATAAATTTGAAGAGTTTGTACAGAAAAAAAATATTTATATTTATTTCTGATTAATTTTCACTGTTTATTCCCACAATGTACCTATCAGATGTTGGGTCTACATGAAAACAAAAAATACTGAACCAAAAAAGCATCCTAATAAAAAAACATTCGACATGTGGCAGTGAAAAAAACATAACAAAACAAAATTGGATACATCACATCAATGAGCAATTATATCAAGTAAGATCACAAAAATTCGAAGCCCTATTATCATCAGGTTGTGCTACACCACAGAGACGGTTTTCTGGGTTTTGAGGCCGAACAAATTTTCAAATAACTTGGGGGCCATGGGAGGAACCTGCACGGGCTGAGGCGCCATGAAATTGACAATCTTTTCATGTACATTATACCTGATCTTGCGACACTTTGAGGCACGTCGATCAACAATCTTCCTTTTCTTAGTTTGCATTCTCTTGAGAGCATAAAAGGTAGACTCTGTGGATGATCAAACAATGAGAAGTTGAAGGAAAAACAAGCACTTAGTACAGAAACCCATAAAGGACAGTGTTAAACTAAACCACTAATTTGATAATATTGTGGGTCACAGAAGCAACAATAGATCATATTAATGGTTTGATAATTTGTCAGAGGATGCATATAATTAGGACTGCACAAACAAACCAAGTTCATATACAGCTGGGTCTCCGCTTGTTAATAAGGCTCATTTGAGTTCCTTTATATTATAAGCTAACCAAGCTCAAGTTCTTTCTTTAAACTCATTTAGAAAATGAACTGAGCGTGAGGACAACTAAGCTTGGCTCATGAATAATGTGATGGCAATGATGAATGATGAATGTATGTGTATATTAAATTCCATGTTTCGTATTGTCAGTGCAAATGAACGATGGCATCATGGCATGAGATTTGAATGTTAATATCATGATGTCTCAGCTATTTTGATTTTGAATTCATATGTTTGAATTGATAATTTATGTCACATCAACTAGAACAAGACAAGTGGTAGACCATAAATAGAACTTTTGACATTGACCTGGTTAAAAAACCTTTGTAGCCCAGCAAACAAGAGCTGAGCCAAGTTTGAACAAAGATTCTCTGGCTTGATTCAAGCCTGAGCTCTTAAATTCAGCTGAGCTAAGCTTGAACAAGTCACTGCTAAGAACAGCTTAGTTCCTTTGTAGCCAACTTCGTTTGTTAGCAACAAAAATGTCAAACTCTGATCCAACTTCGTTTATTTCTCCAAATTAAGTATAAAAAAAAATTGCTGGAGTACTTTACCAGATGATGCTGGGTCAAATGTCTCAAAAAATTCTTTCAGTAGCTGCTGGTAAAATTCAGAGTCATCCAGAAGCTCGGGGTCACCATCCACTTTTGTGTCCTGATCACACAATAGAGGAATGTATTGAACTGATATGTTTCACAATGACTTGATTCATGATGGTGATGGTGGTTTTATCTAAAGATTCCTCCCCCCCCCCCCCGCGGAGGGGGGGGACAAAAAGAGAAAAGGACAGAAACACGAGCAGCAATATAAAATTTTCATATGGTGCTCAGACGGAGAAGAGAAATCTCGACTTCCAAAACTGCCACCATTTTGCAAGGTGTCCCACTTATTTTTTAAGTCATACTTCCTAGAATGGAGATCAAAATTAAAATGCTATGCCAAACAACTCATTAAGTCACTAAAGTAGTATAAATTCAGACCTGTTCCTTGGTATTGCTCTGTGCATCTGGAACCTGTCATTAACAATAGCAGGTAATTAACGGTTTAACAAACCCATAGTTATTAAAATAGGTAAAACTTATTGTACATGCATTGTCCATAATCACATTACAGTAAACTCGTTTAACTTTTGAATAAATTAAAAGGGCAGACTTATGAACTTACAATCCCAAATATAGCAACAGTCGACCTGCTCTGCTGCATTCCCTTTATCACTCTACTTGGATCCCACATATAAGCAGCAACTTGCTCACTAATATTCTGTATGCGGATGACTGAATCAGATAAGTACCACAACCATTATACCTCTAAGATAGTGTTTGGTTCATTGGAATGGAAGTAGATTGGAATGGATTGGTCATTCCTTAACTTCCTTATAAAATGAACATTTCTTTACAATGGTGAATGTGATTCCATTTGCAATACATTGTCTCTCATTTTTTTTTCAAGAAACAAACATGAGAATGGACATTCTGATGGAATGATCATTCCATTCCACTCTATTCCAATGGATCAAACATAACATAAAAGTGCAAGGATATCACTTGAATCATGGAGGCAAACCTTATTGAAGGCATGTAATTTGCTTTTAAAAGCAGCAGCACCAGTTGTCACCTGGGACTTCCTCTGCCATTTATCTATCGATTTGTTTCTAAAATGAGCTATTCTACAAACACAAGAGCATCATCAGTCTCAGTAACATCAAGAATGCTGAATTTATGTGGACTGGACAAAAAATTCTAAAGAACGCATGCAGATAAAATAGTAAAACAGAACAAAATCCAAAAAAGAATTTGGAAGTTAGTTGGTCAAAATCTGATGAGCTGCTGGCCAATTTCTAGAGGTTGGATGTTTTATTTGGCACTTATATGCTTTCTGAATTGCAGACAGGAGTGATGCAATGCGGTGGAAGAGGTCTAATTTTGTCCTGATTAGTGTGAAGTCTTACTATGAGGCGCGTTTGGGTCATAAAGGGTCTTCCTTTTCTCGGAGGGCAATTTGGGATACTTAGGCTCTGTCTAGGGAAACTTTCTTTGTTTGGTGTGCGGTGCATGGAAATATCCTTACTATTGACAACTTGATTAAAAGAAGGTAAGTGCACGTTAATTGGTGTTCTATGTGCAAACATGACAAGAAGACAGCAAATCGTACTTAATCCACTGTAAGGTGGTGCAGGAGTTGTGATTTTTGGCTCTCACATTGTTTGAATTTGAGTGGGTTTTCTCGAGGAAGATAATGGAGCTTATTTGGTCTTGGAGGAGGTGTTCGAGTGCGTGAAAAGAAAAAAAAAGGGCTTGACAATTGGTTCCTTCAGTGATTGTTGGATGATATAGGGAGTGGAATACAAGAGTGTTTGTCAGAAATGAAATGCCCGTTTTGAAAATTAAGATCCTTATTTTGTCTATATTGTATAGTTGGTGTTCCAGGATGATTAACCCATCCTTGAACCAATTTTTGGATTCTGTAGAGAGGCTCTAGAATAGGTTGTTCTTGTATAACGATTATAGTTTTTTGTATATGCACCCCTTTGGTGCCTTTTCTTCATGTCAACATTTTAGATGATAGGAATCTTTTGCCCCGATGCTGTGCACAGAATTCTCACATAGGATTGGTAAGGAACTTCTAGGACACTTCAATTGTACACAGATCTTCAACATTTTTTATTTTTTATTTTTTATAGCATAAAGAAAATAAGGCAAAGCTCTTAGTAACCACCAATTTATGTAAGATGGTGAAGTTTGTGTGCTCCCAACAATACAGAGTTACATAAGTTTAAAATTAACCATACAACATAGAAAGATAAACAGAACAGTGCCACCATTCCCCTACTAGTATCATAGTATGTGACCTAACAGACATGTTGGAAACACCTTGAAAGTAAATAAGCCCCCTTTTGCTAGAGTACTGAGTCCGACTGATCACACCCCTTCAAATGTCTTAACATTAAATACCTCTAGCATGACATGAAGCATGTAAAAACAAAATGTTACTTTACCCACAGAAATTGCAAGTTCAACAAAAATTTTACTATAACCAACAACTTAGTTTAAGAGGCTCTATCCATCTTAAATATTTAATGTTCTACAAATCAAATGCAATTGAATGTTGATTGTAGAAATACCTTGAGTGCATTTCAGATATTTGTGACCATTCTTCATCATCTTCTCCATTTGAGCTCCTAGAAACTTCTGAATGCTTGGGAGGTTGGCCGGAGTTACCTTAGAAAGAAGAAAAACAACTCAACTCCTTGGGCATACACATACTGATAATTACACACTTGTAAAAAATGTTCCAGATACCATCATATACAAAGTCACATAGACATATAATCCCAAAGTACAAATTGGGAGGGTTCAAAATTCCCATATTGACAATCTTATATATCATAGAGAGTACTACCTAACAGTTTATTCATGATAAACAGATTCTTCAAGAAAAATTTAAAGGATATACTTTCATAACTTTTTTGCTCAAAGCAAAAGAGGAGGACGCAAACTTCATTATATTACTTGATACAAAGAATTTTAAAGAAAGCACTGCCTAACACTCAGGTTTCAGAATGGCCTACAAAAAATTACATGCCATACCATCTGCAGCTTGAGCAATGGATGGATTCTTCTCAAGTAATGCCTGTCAAAATAAGCATAACATGTAAACAAAGGAACAGAGGTTGACAGGTACATCAAATTTTAATAATGTTTCGAAGGCATCAACTACTCATCACATTGTTAGAATCCTACACAATACAGAAGGAAAAGAAAAAAGGCAAGTAAATGGGTAAGATGTTCTCTTACCTCCAGTAATTCCAGTAGAGAATCCAAAGTCTTCTTAGATGAGGTAATCAGATCTAAATATGCTTCATTCACCTTACTGTCTGAATCACAGAATGAAGACTTGAGTGGTTCCTGCACAATTCACCATGTTTCAATTAGAAGGTTCCAGTAGAACATAAATTGCCATAGACATGCAAGATTTATCAATCAAACAGACCTTTGGAAGTCTATTAGAACTTGAGAATGCTTTTTGCAGCAAGAATCTCAACTCAAGAGTCTTGTCCCAGAGAACCTTGAAGGAAGAAAGACAAAGGGCAAAAAGGAAAAAGTTCAGCAAACGATATCAGAAAAGAAATGCAGAAAGCTGCTACAGGAACAAAAACCACAAACAGGGTTGATTACCATATACTTAAATAATTAAATTTTTTGATAATTATTGATGATGATGGGAATGCTTAGGAACCTAAACATTTTCAGGTCTACGAGAAAAAATTACGGGAAAAGAAAAGAAGAAAAAGTTTAGTAAATGTTTTGCGAGAGAAGGAAAAAAAAAAAAAAAAAGAGCTCAGAAAACAAATGCAGAAAGCTACTACAAGAAAAAACCACAAACAGATGTTGACTACCACAGATAATATGCTTTTTTGCTAATTATTGATGATGGCAACGGCAAAAAAATCTTAACATTTTTAGGTCAAGTTCATGAGAAAAGATTACACAACAGGCAGCAAGTGCAGTTAAATGTGAAAACCCCACTCATAGTTCTTATCTAAAGCAACCATATGACCTCCAAAGTATGGAAAACCAAAAACATTGCAAAGTGAGAAGAAGAAATTAACAGAGAAATGTTCAATTAAAGGTCCATTACTACAAGTGCTCCTGTCCAATGGAGGTTGGGAGAAAATTTTTACATAAGCAGCCATAAAGTACAATATTAAGAAGACACCGAACCTTCTGGGATTTTACTGCTTGACCTTTAAGAAGATCCTCATCCTTGTGACGCTTTAGATTCCTCAAAAGGTCTCTGAAGAAAAAGAAGTGAAATATCATAAATAAATATATATACATACAAGAATAGATGTGTGTGTATATATTAATTCATTTCTAAGATACTCCTAAATCCTAATTATTCAAAGCAAACAATAACAAAGATAAAAGATTGGGCAAAAGAATTGCACATTCATGACCAACAAATGAGGTACAAATATAATAATATATGACCTTTTCTATCCTCTTCTATGTTCTTAGTGTACAGGGAAATGCTTAGCCTTTAAGAGCTAGTGTTTGTAGATGATACAAGTATATAGTATCCATTTTGTGGGCAAGAAGCCAAGCAAGAGTTAGCTATGCAAGATCCACCTGGACACCATGAGAATGGAACATAATCAATGTTCTGAAAAGCGGTTGCGGTCGCCGTAACGGTGGCGGTGACGCGGTTGCAGTTGCGGTTGCGGGGTGTAAAGGCCGTAGTGTAACATACAAAGTTCAACTTATTTTAATTCTTTTAAACTAATAATCACAAAATTTATAAATATAAAAGCTAATATATATATGATATCTTTAAAAGAATTAAAATAAGTTGAACTTTGTATATTAGTTTAAATTAATTTTTTATAAGCAAATAAATAAATAAATAAACTTATTAATAAATAAATGAATTTTGTAAATTCCCCCCCCCAATTTGAATTGCATTATGTTGTTGTTATAGGTGATGTTATATTGTTGAATTTTATTTTTATGTATGCTACATTACTAAAAATTGTAAAAATAATATTTTTTATGAATGTATCCATGCCGTACCCGTATCCTAGTTTTTCAAATTTTGTTGTATCGCCCTATCCGTATCGTATCATACCCGTATCGGTGCTTCTTAGATTCTAGTTCACGCACAACGTCGGTGAAGAAGTTAACAATTTTGTGGATCTTTGGATTCTAGGGGTTCAAAATGGGTAAATTCTCAAAGCGGCCAAGAAAAGAACAAGATATAGTGATGCTGGTTCGCAAGAGGAAAGTGAATCAGAAGAGATGCTAAATGTCAGTATAATTTTAAGTTTTAATTTTTTGGGCTCCATTAATGTTTCTCATTCTCTTGATTATGCTTTTATAATTATTGTTTTTGTAATGTAGGTGGAGAATGAGTATGACGACGATGGCAATGAATATAGCGATGACAATGATGAGGAAGATGATAGTGTGGAGGAAAATGAGGAGGACGAAAATGGTGATGATCAAAATGATATCCGGAAGGACGTTGAGATGGAAGAACTCGATAAAGAATTGACAGACCTCCGTCACCAGGAGCAGTAAGATCTTTTTTAAGCATAAATTAACGCAAAAGCTTGTAGTTTTTACCTTCTAAGTTGTATCAATTTTATTCTTCTTGTTAAATTATGAAAGTGTTAGGATGTGGGAATTAGTGAATATCAGGATAGGTTGTAATTCATATGTTAGGAAATATAGTGAATGATTTGAAGAAATACAATAATAATTTTGGGAGTGGATAAGAATCCATGCTAAGAAAAGGTCTTACCATTAAATAGATGCTACAAATAATTTATAGAAATGCTTAATGATTGTGATACACTTGATGTGTTTAGGTTAGCTGTGCTAATCTAAGAATTGTCAAATGATAGGTTATCTTTTCAAGATGTAGAGAAGCCTTTGTATAGTGCTAAGGAGTCTTTTTTTGGCTGTTTTGTGAAGTACGTTGTATTGGAAAGTCTTTCCAAATCATGATCGTGTTTATGTAGTGACAGTAAATGAGGAGAAATAATTATGTTGTTACTTTATGATGATGTAGATGTTCTATTATGTTCAAGGTTTTAAAAAGCGGCCACAACCGTTACGTAACGCCGTTACGTAACGGTTGTAGTGGTTGCCGCCACCCGTTACGGCCGTTTTTGCAGTGTGATTGAGATTCACAGGTGTATCGGCCGTAGCGGCTGCTATAGCGGTCGTAACGGTGCCGTAATGGCCGTAACGGCCTGTTACGCACTATTACATAACGGTTCCGAATTGCTTCTTTCGAAAAAACACGCCAAAAAAAAAAATTTGAAAATGGGGGAAGAGAGATAGAAAGAGAAGAGGGAAGATGGAACATGTTATTGATTTGTTGAAGCTATAAGACCTATGCTATTGTATTCAGCTGCTATCACTCAACCATTTTGTTTGTGTGTGTCTATCTATATATTGTTTGAAAATAATAATAATAAGTGTGGTCATTATCTATTTGATTTGATTAAAAAATATATATATATATATTTAAGCTTTTATTTATTCTCTTACTTTTGTCATTGTTTATCTTATATATAATAGTTAGTGATTGATTTTTTGTATAATATAAAGTTATTAATTATTAAAATAAAATGTAAAAAACTCAGTTTATAGTGCTTTAAAAATACGAAATATATTGGATCAAACTTTAAAATTTACAAAAATTGATCAATATTTATTTTAAAACCAAGTTATTAATTATTAAAATAAAATGTAAAAAACTCAGTTTATAGTGCTTTAAAAATACGAAATATATTGGATTAAACTTTAAAATTTACAAAAATTGATCAATATTTATTTTAAAACCTAATAAATATGATCATGGAAAAAAATGTGCATATCGGTAAGTTTTTTTCAAATTGTGCGAAAAATAAAAAAATTCACGGTTCCGGTTACCGCAACCGTTACGCTACGGCCTTTACATCCCGCAACCGCGTCACCGCTACCGTTACGGCGACCGCAATCACTTTTCAGGTCTTGTTTGTCAAAATCTAAAATTGTCAAAAGTTAAAAAGTCACTATCTTATTTAAGTCACATCATCGTATTTATGTCACATCACTTCAAGCCCAACCTATACCTAACCCATATTTCATAAAAAGTAAAAAAATACACTTATTTACATAATCCCAAACCACTCCTTAATTCGTAAAACGGTTGAACAGGCAATGCAACTAGTAACCCGCTAAAATAATTCCGGTTCACAATGGCCGGCCGGTTTGACCAACCCTAGATATCATTCAATTTAGGGCCCAAACTCTCTCTCTCTCTCTCTCATTTTTGATTTTATCCCAAATCGCTTATCAGCCGCTTCAACAACACAGCCACTGGCAGCTTCTTCTCCGGCGAATTTCTTCGACTTCGGCATCTCTACGGCACTACACAATCCAGGTAACCACTCTTCTCCGCTCTCCCCCCTACGCCGCCGCCGCCGCCGCCACCACCACCACCCATGGTTGTTAAAATCGCGATCCGGATCGTAAGATCGTACGATCGTACGATCCTACTTTGCCAAAACGATCCAAATCGTTGTAGGATCGATGTTATAACAAGATCGCAAGTAGGATCGTGTAGGATCGCATGGGATCGTGTAGGATCGTATGGGATCGTAGTTAGGATCGCAGGTAGGATCGCAAGTAGGATTGTAGATTTTATGATTTTTTACCTTATTTTTAATATGTATCATTTTAATTTTAATTTTAATTTTTATCTTTTTTTTTTTAATAGAAAGTAAGATCTTACGATCCTCGATCCGATCCTACGATCCGATCCACCAGACCCTCTCACCGATCCTACTTAGGATCCCGATTTTAACAACCTTGCCACCACCACCACCTCCACCTCTTCCCCTTTCCTAGCTATGTATTTTTTTTAGTTTTCTTTGCTGGTTTTTTTATTTTTGTATGTATATACTCTGTTGCCTTGTTGTCTTGTTGGAATTTTGACAAAACGTGATATAATTTCTTAAATGAATTATCGGCATCAAGAACGAATGCTTATATATATATATGTGTCTGTGTGCGCGCTCTTTTAAACCTGTAAAATATAAATTTTGATTTTGATTTTGATTTAAAAGTATATATGTTGTGTACGGCTCGAGTAATAAAGATATTAATTTCAAAAATCAAAATGTCACATTGTGTCAATACCATCTCAAGCATTTATATATATAATAGTATAAATAGAAAGAAGATAGATAATAGTGTATATATATATATATATGTTTGTATATAAGTATACTAGGGGTTGTGCAAATGTGATGGATTTGAATTTTATATTGAAATTTTTGAATGGTTTGATAATTAAGGACTGTTTGATGATGAAGAAAAATCATTATTGGACGTGAATTGACAAAATTTACAATGGCTCAAGAATCTTGTATAAGTTTTGTAAGAATAATTTACAAGATAGAACTAATTGATCATAGATCAAGTTCAAAAGCTTCATGGATAGTCAGTGTATTGGGGAGCATAATTTTAATCTAAGTTACCTAGATCGCAAATCGTTGTGGTACGTGGAACGGGAACGGACACATAGTACGTCATGTCGTGCGGAATGTGGTACAGTAAGGGTAGGCTTCAACGGATCGCTTAGTCGGAATGAAACACGTTTGTTCGGAACGTGGAACTTTTTTTGGACCGTTTAGTAATATTTGTAGAAATGTATGATTGTGTACATGTAAGTAGGGGTGTCCGCGGTTCGGTTTGGGACGGTTTGCGGTTCGGTTTGGACCCACCCGCATGTATGCGGTTTGGAAAAAGTCAACCCGCAACCGCCCGCATGTATTCGGATTGGGACCTTTTTTCTCATATTTTCTAAAATGCTCCAACATTAATAATTAATGAATTAAACTTAATGAATTAATTCAGATTTCAGAATCAATTAACATACAGTCACAGAATAGGCAATTTTCAAATTCATAATCAATTTTCAGAATCAATTAACGAAATCAACAGGTTGTCAATTTTCTGATTGTTAATTGATTTTCAGAATCAGAATCTGAATTTTCAGAATCAATTAACAATCCATGTGCATTATTTAGCTTAATTTTCTCAACTAGGTTTTAAACCTTATCTGGTTCTTCATAGGCAATTTCTGCAAGTACGATGTTCACACACTTCACATGGAGTTGAAAATCATATCAACCGGGATCAACAAAGATACATTTATATTATCATGTCATTCATGTTTTAAATACAAATGTATGCTTTAAAATACCCAAAGCAAAACACCCAAACATCTAGATAAATAAAATACAAATGTATGTTTCAACACTTCTAGCTGCTGCAACATTAATAATTAATGAATTAAACTTAATGAATTAATTCAGATTTCAGAATCAATTAACATACAGTCACAGAATAGGCAATTTTCAGATTCAGAATCAATTTTCAGAATCAATTAACAAAATCAACAGGTTGTCAATTTTCTGATTGTTAATTGCAATTTTCTGATTGTTAATTGATTTTCAGAATCAATTAACAATCCATGTGCATTATTTAGCTTAATTTTCTCAACTAGGTTTTAAACCTTATCTGGTTCTTCATAGGCAATTTCTGCAAGTACGATGTTCACACACTTCACATGGAGTTGAAAATCATATCAACTGGGATCAACAAAGATACATTTATATTATCATGTCATTCATGTTTTAAATATAAATGTATGCTTTAAAATACACAAAGCAAAACACCCAAACATCCAGATAAATAAAATACAAATGTATGTTTCAACACTTCTAGCTGCTACACAATATGTTAAAAATTATCACCCTAACTGAAATCCTTCTTTTCATTCTAAACCTTCTTTTTCATGATACCCATTATTCTAAACCAAGGTTCACAGTTTAATACTAGTATACTAGCACATTTGATATTTCTCAATTATACTAGCACAGTTTAATACTAGTATACTATGCCTCTCAACTAGTCAATTAGATCATTATAAAGAAAAAGAAAAAGAAAACTACTTCATCAGGTAAGTAGAATCCATGTTGTTTACAAAAAAAAAAATGTAAAAATTCTTCATACAACATTCAAACCCATCTCAAAGATAGCATGCTTATCAATTAACAATCATAATCAATTTTCAGATCAAACAAAACAAATTCATATTTCAGATTTAGATTTAGATATAAGAATTAATAAAATTAACATACAGATTTCAGATTTCACAACTAAGATCAATATTACACAGTGTGAGACACAACTAAGATCAGATTTCAGATTACACAGTGTGATCAACTAAGATCAACATTTCAGATTCAGATTAACATACAGACATTACAGACATCACAGAATGGGGGAGACATTACAGACACAGATTCGATCGGTGCAGTGCAGAGAGATAGAGAGAGAGGCTTACCTGTGAGATAGTGTGAGTCTATCGGGGCGAGAGAGGGAGAGACAGAGATGAGACTGATCTGATGAGATGAGAGAGTGAGGGAGACAGATTAGATCAGAGATATATCTGATATATATATATATATATAACAACCATCGGGCCGAGAGAGAGAGTTTACCTGTGAGTAGATCGGCGGTGCGATGATCGGTGCGAATCGATGAGATGAACAACGAGAGAGTGAGAGAGTGATCGGTGCAGAGATGAACGAGATCGATGCAGAGATGAACGAGAGGGTGAGAGAGAAAGAGAGGCGACTGAGAGAGTGATGTGAAGGAGACGATTAGATTTAGGGTTTTTTTTTGTTCTAACAGATTGGGGATTTTTGGGGCGCGAGAATGGAAAAAATTGGGGGAACCGAGCGGGCGGGATGGGAAAAAAAAAATTCATCATAAATAAATATTTAAATAATACGCAACCCGAAATTTATGTAAAATCTAAACTGCACCCCACCCTAATATGTTTACGAAACCATCCACATGCGTGCGGTTCGGATTATGTAAGGCGGTTTGGACTGGTCGGATAACCCTATGGCCAGCTGTACATGTAAAACTTTTTATATATATTTTTAATCAAATGAGATTTTTTCCATCACAATGGAATTCTAGAAATTAAATTACTTGAACTAATTTCCATACTTGCAACAAGTTTGTTCCAAAAACATTAATAACAAAACGATCCAAAGATTAAAAGTACTGCAATAAAAAATAACTAACGCAAAAATAAAACTAAAAATAAAAAGTTCATCATAAAAGGTAATTATTCCTAACTCTTAAATTGAAAAAGAACAAAAAAAAGGAGAAGTTAGGCCAGCCTTTTCCCTTTATCTTTTATGGATGATGATGCTCCATTTTGTCTAATAAAACTAGAAATTTGAGACTGTTGAGATCTCATTCGAGGTGCAAGATTGGAAGTTGTAGCTAATGATGTTGAACTTTGTCTAGGAAATCTCGAACCAGATGTAGTATGTTGCTCTTGGGTCCTTTAATCTAAATGTGAGTGCTCTTGCTGAGTATCATCTTTATCATCCTCTAAAGATTGCCATCGCATCTCTTCTAATCGCACTTGGGAATCATCAATCATTGTATCTTCTGGATTGATGTCCCATTTTTCGAATGGCCCTTCTTTGTAGTTTTCTTGAAATCGTGATAATAGTCGAATGTTGGAATGAATAAACACTAACTTGTTCACTCGTGATGCACTTAGCCTATTTCATTGCCAAAGATAAATAAATAAATTAAATTAAAAAAATAATAAAATAATATGCAAAACAATAAATAAAATAAGATCCAAACTATAAAATAAAAATAAAAACAAAAACAAAAAACTTGCTCCGTTTAACATTGTGAATATACGAATATGTGCTCCAATTTCTTTCTGCACATGATCTAGTGGCTAGTTGGGATAAGACCTTTCGTGCAGCTTCTGCTAGCTCTGGTGTTTCTGATCCATATGTTGCCCACCATTCTATAGCACCCATAGTAGAAGCATCAACAAAGGCAGCTGCTGTAGAAAAAAGGCCTTTTCGCATATGAAAATCTATAAATTGTTTGCGTAACATTCTTGCTTCATCAGGATGCGATGCAATCTTTTCAAATGCTTTTAAGACACCACTAACCACTTCTTTGTCTTCATTAGGTCTCTTTCTAATGGTTCCACCAGGGGTAGGAGTACTTACATAGGTAGAATCATAAAATCGAGGTGACAAAGCAAATCCAAGGTAATGCATAGGGACATTAATTTTTTCCCATAAACCAACCAATGTTTTCAAACCCGGATTGGACCGGCCAGTCGGATAACCGGGCCTTGTTCCAGTCCGGTCAACCCCCTAAACCCGGAGTGGGAGCAAAATCGGTGAAATCTGGTGACCCAGTGGTCGAACCGGCAAAACCGGTGACCCGGACCGGGTTGAGAGGGTCGAACCGGTTTGTTTTTTTTCTTATTTATTTATTTATTTATTTATTTTCTTTCTTACTTTTCTTTCTTTTTTATATATTTTTATATATATAAACTAGTGAATGCCCGTGCCTAAAGGCACGGTATAAATTATGTTAGGATCAAAATCAAACGACACTAACTAATAGGGAAAGGAAAAAAAAAAACAAAAAACAAAATCTAAATCAACAACTAACATAAACACTCAGTGATGCGCTTTTGTTACAATAAATCAAAAAAACAACTCAAATTTGGCAAGAAATTGAACTCATCTTGGTAACCAATGGTGTTCTACACAAAAGAAAAGAAGCAAAGAATAATACTCAATGGTATAGAAAAGGTTGTACACAATTAAAACTGTTAATTAATTGTAGTGATATGAAGAATTAATTAAGTCTATATCAAGATGCAAAGTAATAACAACTTAGTATTAGGACTATCAACTGATAAAACCAAACGACACCAAGTTATTATATCAAGATACAAAGTAATAACAAATTAGTTTTTAATTTTTTTTTTTATATAACTTTTCTGGAATTTAGAGATTTTTTTTAATAAAAATTCTCACTTTTTCCCATTGCCTATAGATTGACTTTTAACCAGGCAAGTTCAGAACTTGTGTTGCAATTATTTGCACTCACTCCTGTCCCATCTTTCCCCAAGCTTCAAGTCTCTGGCCATGCAAGGTGTCAACCATTACACCATTGCAGCTCCAATCCTATCACAATTACATAGGAAAGAATTCAGACAGAATTAGTTGCACAGTAACTCAAAACATTGATCAAGACAAAGATGGTTGACACATATCTTATAAACACCATATTATGTTATCTCAAACAAAATTTTAAGAGAAGTAAAATCAGATCTCTTGACTAATAATACCAATATACATATCATTCTAATTTCCACCCCCATTAAACAAAGAATTTTTCTGCACATGCCGAAGGTCGTATACAATACACCCTACTTTGGATCTTATCAACCTTGATAAAATGTCATTTTAAACAGAAACAGTTTCTCTCTCTCTCTCTCTCTCTCATGAATTATAATGCCACAAGCTGACTGAATTCAGGAACCCCATACAAATGACGACTAACTATAATCATCATCATCCTACATTAGAATTCTCTAAATACTCTACACCACCCCAGTAGTTCCTTCCACCAGTAGCCAAGCCTTTGCACTGGGACACCGCTATGATTCACCCATGCAAAACTAAAGAAAATTCGGGAAAAAAATTACTGAATTGGTAACCTCCAAAAATGTATGGAAGAGAAGATATTCCAGGTGTCCATAGCTGTAGACACCCCATTTTTGACCGACCTTGAGACTCAGACGTCACCAGTTGAGCACTTGGTGATATTGCATAATGTTCTCGTTCAGAAGTTTCAGAGTCTTGGCTGCGAGCCCTGCCTCCGGACTTCCGAACCCTCTTCTGTGCCTTGCCTCGGTTTGCGAACCAGACTCGTTTTTCTCTGTTTCTTTTCCTGAGGGAAGGGAGAGGTCCCGTAGACCATCTCTCAATGGCCGTGGGCAACATTTTGTGGCCGCAGGCCATTTTGCCCATTTCGGAGTCCGGTTTCCGATTTTTTGGGACCGTTGGCCGTGTGCCTCGGTTCGGGACCGCCTAACCATCTCCGATTGCTCTGATTTTTGGCATACATCTTATTTCA